AACTGAAACTGGACTGATTTATACCGAGCTAAAGCTCGCTTATATAAAAAGCAATAGCCACACCTCTCCTATCACAGATGCTTATATCTGCGGAGGTAACAAACAAAGCCCAAACAAAGCCAGGATATCACAAACAAGGAAGTTTGGCGTCGTTACAAAGGACCGGCGCTGCTTCTCGGAACACCTCTCCAATCCATTTTGTCCATCAAAAAGGGGCACTTTGTGCGTGCCAATTTGCTGTGATAAAAAGCTTGACGTGCTGCACTCTGTGAAAGTAAATTTGCACAAAAAATTCTATTCATTTATTTGCAGGGATTTGTTTGAGGATGAAGACGAAGCAGCAGAGGAAGCAGGTGTTGATGTTCTGCCTGATGAAGTCGTGTTGCAGTGATGCTGTTGCTACTGCTGTCGCAGGGTACACTCTCTGTTTCACTACTCTTTTCTACTTTTATCGTTAAATGTGAATCTTGTCGGTCATTTTCATGTACTTCTTGTTGAGCGTGTTCTTCCACGAATGAGAATTCAGGGATATTTTATGAGCATGGCGCCAATGAATTTACGTGAATTTTTGCATTCACAGATATAAGAATTCCATGGATTTTTTGGATACAGCGCAACATATATCACGGTATGCCTGGATATCTGTTAGGCACAGATATCCCGTCGTGCTGAGATCTGTTAGGCATAGGTATCCCGCCGTGCCCCAAAATTTTTCAGCAATTGATTGGTGGGGTACTGGATTTGGATTTGTCGGTAGTATGGTGCGGTATTTAGCAATTCTTGCGATTTTTTAGCATCTGCCGTTGTCCGTCTCATTGGGAACGGCCTTCTGGCTCTCATTCCTAATCCTGGGAAGAGAATAGAGGGGATTTTATGAGGGGATTTAGCTCGTCGTGTTCAGAACTAGTAGATACGCTAAAATTTGCATAGCATGTTTGGCGCATCTCTGGAGATCCGTGAAGAACTCTGTTACCTCATATCCATACTACCAATTTTCGTGATGCTCGTGAAGGATTTCACTTATGTGTAATTTCGAATTTTTTGTTGTCGGAACGATTCGTGTATATATTTCTTACGATTTTTGACGTTTACATATTCTTAGAAAGATAAAGAACCGCAAACTCCGTTTGCGTTTTTGCTCTCTATGAGAAAAGGGGAGGGCCTAAGAAGCAGTGGCCACTCGCTTGACCAGCAGTGACCACTCGTTGACAAACTTACCGATAGTTTTTCAAAAAAGCTGCTCATAAAATAAGCTAGAAGCTCCAAGTTGGCAGTGCGGCAATTTGGGGGTACCAGCTTTTCTGGAAATGAAGCGTTGAGACTGGGCCGGGTTCCTAATACAAGTACATTTATGCATAAAATTAGGCCTATAAGCTATGCTTTCTCACACTGGCCGATTCGAATCAGCACCTGTTTTGGAGCCTATTGTCCACTTGAAGCAGATGAAATACGTGAAAAAGATGTAATTTAATAGTCTTGTCATTCACCATCTCCAGCTACTTTGACCAGTGCTGCTTCGTTTGGTGGTCAGCCTGCTGGTGGTCAGTTTTGGCTCCTGAAGGATTTATTGAGGCTTTAGCTAGGGCGATAATGGCACGAAATATTGCTTACTAAAGAAATTTTCAGAACAATGAGTTCGTGTTCCACTGGTGATCTCATGTACACAGACTTAGTCTTGAATGTGTTCTCTTGATATGTTCTCCAAAATAAGTCTCGTTTTGTTTTGTTGTATTTTGTACACCTTTCAGATTGTCTCTTTGAATTCATTGTTTTTAAAGAACAAATTTTTGTGATGGAGTTTTTTTTTTTATTCCACAGCGAATTCAGGACATTTGACCGTTTTTGTATCTGAAGTGTCCAATTTGAGAATTTTTTGTTTTTCGAAGCACACGGGCGGGGGAATATTCGTTGTGCGGGTCAAAATTTATTCAGTGTATAATATTAAATGAAAAAGTACTTATATTAATTAGGCTTATGTAAAATTATGAACACTGTGTAAGCAGCAGATACTAGTTAAATTTATGGAGCATATTTAAAAACTAACTGAGAACGAAACCCTTCCCTTTTTCCCCCTCTCCTTCATCCTT